GCCTGTATACTCAAATCGAGAACAGATTCCTATTTTTTATGTGTCTGTCTCTATAGTATCTGGTGGCTGAAGCAAGTCAAAATTTGTATAGGAAGATTATTCTCGTGTAAATGGTCAGTAAAGCGAAGGCTTACCCTTTTGGAAAACGTTCTCTTAACACAGGGGTAAATGGTTGGTAGTCTGAGAGGAGGGTGACGCAAAACACGAATGAATCATTTATTGTTAAGACCAGTGTGCTAAGTCTTGTGAAAGCAAGTTGAATGGAGAGATCAGGTCACAGTGAACTTCGGCGAAGGTCAGACTTGTAAAAGGAAATGGACGAAGATGCTCTTGAGGAGTCTGCGAACCAAACGGATAGGAGGGACTGGCCAGACCGGGGAGAGGTATTGGAACGCCAAGGAAAGCGCTTTCCGTCATGGACCAAGACTATTTGATTAGTTTTAGTTAGATACGGCGAGAACTCGTTTAAGCGCAAATTTTTCAAGTGTCAATATTTTTTCAAGATTCATTAGTGTCCGCTTTTTTCGAATTTTATAAATAGTCATGTAACAGTGCGATAAAGTTTATCAGAAGAACACGATCAGAGAAGACAATAAAGAGGCTTTAGTGGCACCTACATTTGACAGTTTGACCATCGCTCTCAACGATGTCCACCACGAGCCTCAGCAAGCTGAAGCAATGCGGTGACTCCCGCGGGATTATATTGAAAGCAGACTTGCAGGGAATCTACCTCACTCTCTTACCACTCCCACACTGGGACCCAGTGTCAAGACGAAAGTCAAGAGATGGAGGAGGGCGCAGGCGGCTGGCACGACCAAGACCCAACACGCGTACCAACAGCACACCTCGCTAGGTAGGCTCCCGCCTGGGAGCACCATAAAGGCCACATTAAGAAGAAGCCGTTGGGCCTGAATCTCAGTCCGCAGTTACACACTCCACACAAAAAGACACAGTGACCTGACTGCGGTGTCCGAATTATCCCGTCAGTTGACAATCCTTCAAGCCACGGCTTTTAGTGCACTGTGATACCTTCAAGTGCATCGGACTGTTTTACTGAGGAAATAAATGCGCTGAGGGCCGACCACTCTTTTTCTTCCACTGCCAGCAACAGGCCACCGCCTAGCTTATCGGTAGCCTGAGGTGGGATGCGGGGTGACACCCACAACTACACATGTTGTTAGGCAGTTGTTTCTGTGTGATCAGACAAATTTAGACAGCGAAAGACAGTAATGAAAGGTACAGAAGTAGTCTTCATGCAGTTATTTGGCAGTAAATCACGTCTTCTTTGCAATGTGTACTAGATTAAATGTTATCCTTCTGTATAAAAGAAGTATCTAATAATGACATTTATGACCTGAAATAGCCATTCTTGAGGAACCGCTTCTGTCCTGTGAACCACGTAACGTGATCCACGTCCGTTGCAGAAGCTTATGGGTCTGTTCATAATAACGTAAAGAAGTGTAGCATTTTCCTTACACGGCAATTATCCAGCATCTCGGCTGGAAATCTCAAGTGCAAGTGCAACTGTGGATTGAGTTCAAGTTTATTTGAGAATTGGAAACGTTCCTAAAGCCTGAAAGACGCCAATCTTTCGAGTATAAATTGCAAAGAAAAGGTAATGTCCCACGAAATGATTAGATGAAAGAATATTTTCGCGCACGCTTACTATAAAATATATTTACATTTACCAGGCATTAAAAATCAATTGGGAAAGTGTATACTGCTAAAGTAGTTATTTTTTCCGAGCGGAGTCTCTGTGAAGGGCCGGGCAGGAGCCTATTTGAAAGCCGATATCTTGTTGAGAGTGAAAGGCTTCGGGAGTATGCGGTGATAGAATGAGTGTTAAAACCCCCTACCAAAGTAAGCCTAAGTTCTAATCGGAAGCACAGTTAGACACTTCACAGTTCACATTTCTGTACAGAGGCCAGCTACTGTAGGTGCTGCTACAACGGTAAATCTTCAGTAGGTGGGTTGAGTGGAACTAACGGGGTTTCGCTGCCGATGGGTTGACACAGTAACTAAATGGACATCATTACGGGCTTTTCAATTTGAGCCGCTATTTTTCCCCTCACTCTAATCGCATGTAAATTTTCTTATATAAACGTTGGTTGGCCTACTTCGCCCAGTATAAACCAATTTTTACCCCTGTTTGTTTATTTTAAATACAATACAATAGCGCTGTTTCGAAAGCAGTCCAATTTGGCCTATAGTCAACGACTCTTCCTGGGACATTTGTCCATGACGTCAAAAATTGCAGTCATTTGCGATTATGAATTACTACTGATATCCCGGTGTTGTGGGTGTTTGTGCCTTATTCTACCCTCCTTTTGAATGAAGGACGTTTTGCTGAAAATCTTGGGATTATATTTTCAAAATAAAGCGTTTCTGCTACTGTTTCCTACTCATGTCTCTGATGCTGAATCCGCGATGGAGGTCGAAACGTCTGGCGAATAAACGTATTGTCCCAGCGATCGAGTCTTCTTCTTCTCCTCATAAAGCGTATCTCTCACTCTCTCTCTCTCTAGCTCACCAACTAAAACGAGCAGCATGGCTCACGCAGACCGAATCTTTGTGAGAACGGTGAGTACTGCTGTCCCATCTACCGCTTGTGGACGAGACAGGCTAGAGGGCAAACCTCGGAGGGCAGGTAAAATGCCTATCGACCCTCCAGACCGACGATCACTGCACTAAGGCGGACAGACAGGATGCAGTGAAAGGATTCATGAAGCGTTAACCAAAATTCTGGAATGCGTTTTTCGATAAGAACGATTACTTAGGTGGGATTGTTAAGTTCACCTGCATAAGACCGAGTTGAGGTGGAGCGTAGGTACAAACTATAAATGGATACGCAACTGTTGGTCAATCTCATGAAAAGTCTAAAAAGCGTTTTTGATTAGGAAGGAAGTGGGGCGGGTTTCATATCAATTGTCGTGCGACACAGTCTCGCGATATGTCAGGATGCCGACTTTTGAATGCAAGTCTTTTCGGCCGTCTGCAAAAGCCACACTCCGTAAAATGTAGAAGAATATAAGTAGTATACATTTTCTTCTATTTAATTTCAACGTCCTCAAAAACTTAAATAGATTTCACAAAAAAACATAAGCAGACATAACATTCCTGCACTTGTTTGGTAGCAAAGCACGTCTACTTCAAATTTCACACACAACGGAAGGGGGTTTTAAAGTTTTAAAAACGTTTACCAAGCATCGAATAATTTGAGCTTGAGCCCTCGTCTCATTAGCGTCGAGGGTTTTCAGTCTACGGAATGCACGCTTTCTGTCTAAGGACTAGGATACATTCCTATATGCTATTATATTATTGCATTGTTCCGATAAAAATCTGCAATAAATGGGAAATATATTGTGTGATTGATGAGGGGCACTAATATACGAACAAATACGATGCGATTCAGCAAACATCTCATGGGTGGAAACTTTTTTAAACAAAATAAATTGTCTTTCTTCGAGTATAAAATGTGAAGACGACATAATCTACCACCAAATGAGTATCAGAAAGGGTAATTTGGACATGCCCGGCATAAAATATATCTGCGCTTAGAAGACCATCGAAAATTAATAAACATGCATACTAGTTAAATGGCCATTTCTTTTACGGAATGTGGTTTTCGCAAGTCGCTGGAAGGACATGCGGGTAAAAACCGACATTTTGGATCATCTGACATAGCATG